AAGAAATGACCACATAGTGGGGAGAACAGCCGGAACCTACCAATACGCAGGAAGAAGACATATCAGGGGCTGGGGGTGTGAGGGAAGGGAGAAAGGAGTGAGTGGAAGGAGCTTCCACTGGAGGGGATGCCAGGAAGCTCTGAGAAGGCACTATTTCAGCTGAGGAATAAGGATAAGAAGGGCCAGTCATGTGACTAAGGAGGTGGTGGGGTTGGGCGGGGGCGTGCTGGTGGTAGCTGAGATGGAGAAAGTGCCATATACAGTAACTTCTCACTTACCATTGTGGATAGGTTCTTGGATACTGTGGCTTTAAGCTAAAAATGCATAACTAAACCGATTTGACTGTAGGGTAATTGACAGAAACAACATTTAAGTTCCTATGGCTTATTTCTGGTCAGGAACACATCACCAAAATTCCCATAAAGCCCAAAACACTTCTAGTATTAAACACTGAAATAAATAAATGTGAGCTATACATACATTTAAGATGAATAAAAACAACCAAGATATTATTTACCCAATTTTTGATGAATCAGTGAATAATGGAGGTCATGGTGGTAGTGGGATCAGACAAGGAAGAAATGTTCGCAAAGCAACATTGTCAGCACTTCTGATCCATGAAGTTCAAAAACAAACAATCACAAATCCGACAGCTTGCTGAGTGCTCTTGTACAGCATAATTTATTGGTGTGCATTTGGGTGATTATTCGTACTTGATGCATTTTCATTCTGTGATAATTTGTATTCATTCATTCATTCATTTTCCAGCTGCTTATTCCAGTTCAGAGTGGAGGGTGGCCGGAGCCCATCCCAGCAGCTCAGTGTGCCAGGCAGGAGCCACCCTGGACAGGATGCTGTCCTATCGCAAGAGGGCTCCCACACACCCACACTCATTCACCATCGGACAGTTTAGACGCGCCAGTTCACCCAGCTTTGGCACAGCTTTGGGATGGGGAAGGAAGCCAGAGTACCCAGAGAAAACCTACGCAGACATGGGGAGAACACGGACACACAGATGGTGGCTCCAGCCGGGAATAGATTTTTTTTTTCTCATCAACATTATAACAAAACAACGTTGAATGCAATGAAGTTATTTGAGGACCTGCTGTAGTTGGAGATAGGACATGCAGCGTGGGTGGTGAGAAAGCGAAGGAACCAGGACCCACTTCCAGGTTCCCTGGCTTCACCAACTGAGCGAATGTTGGTGATGGCCTGGGCATCAGTGGCCGCACGGGCCTGAGGACTCCCCAGCCCAGTCCCCTTGGGGATTGTGCTCGAGTCTGTGCCTCCTTCCGCCTGAGTGCCTGTGTCCCTTCCCTTTTTGCTCCCTGCCCTTCTGCTGTTGAGTTGCCCAATGTTACTTTCAAAAGATGGAGAAAAGGAACAAGGCTGATAGGAGCATCACGCATTTGACAGACTTTGCAAAATGAGACTTGCACCCAAGTAGACGGGAATATTGTTCATCAACTTTGCTATTAACTGTTACTTCCAGGAAAAAGAAGTTTACAGGGTAGAAGGTTAAAGCTAAGAATTCAGTGAAACTTCTTGACATTCTGCACGTTATATTTATCTTTGAAGTCATCTTTCTTCATTATCACAGACGATTGAGCTGAATGTTCAGTAAAACCAGCTGAAAAATAATTTTCCAATGCAAATACTAATGAGGGTTACATGACCGTTGTCCAAAGCATTTGCAGTGCTGCATGACATTTGTCTAAAAACCTGACTCTTAAAACACTCCTTGTGAAAACAGAAATATTCCCATGCCTAGAAGACACTGAGAGTGTTTTCAAAATTATTGGACTGATTTAAATTTCTTTCTTTCTTTTTTTTTTTTTTTTTGAGACGGAGCTTCGCTCTGTCACCCAGGCTGGAGTGCAGTGGCGTGATCTCGGCTCACTGCAAGCTCCACCTCCCGGGTTCACGCCATTTTCCTGCCTCAGCCTCCCGAGTAGCCGGGACTACAAGCGCCCGCCACCTCGCCCGGCTAATTTTTTATATTTTTAGTAGAGATGGGGTTTCACCATGTTAGCCAGGACAGTCTCCATCTCCTGACCTCGCGATCTGCCCACCTCGGCCTCCCAAAGTGCTTGGATTACAGGCATGAGCCACTACGCCCGGCCTGGACTGATTTAAATTTCACTGGAAAACAGCTTTGTAAAACTAAATTGTCTGGATGTGGCCTCCCTGTGATCACTTCCCACCAGCAGCTGCTCACTGCCAACTTCTGGCGGCTCAAGAGAGTGAGCTGTTTCCCACGCTCCCACAAGGCAGCTCCCTGGGATGCTTGTGCTAGGAGATGTTTGGGTCCCTGGAAGGGAGACAGAGGGACCAGCTGGGAGAAGCCCCTTGTCTGACTCCCTTCTCCGCAGCCTGCCAGTATCTTCTAGAAAAGCTTTGCTGGTGCCTGGTGATGATGGAAAACATGTCACCCAAAGAGTTAATAACCCATAACATGTGGTTAAAAGAGAAGGTTTTGTTAAGTCTGCATTTCACTCTCAGAGCTCTGGTTCCAATCCTCACCTGGGAGCCAATCGGTTCTGTACATTGAACCTTTTTATTAATAACAAGTTTTTGGCATATTGAGAGTTTGCTCTTTAGTCCCTCTCTCTTTTTCTGCCCCTGCCCTCTCCTCTAGTAATGAGGTGCGAAGAGACTGAGGGATAAGACCCTGGGAGGAGGAGGAGGAAAGGGAGGGGGAGGGGGAGGGGG